CATATTAAGGTGGCTCGTTAACAGTTCAAACAATTACTACTATTACTCAAACAAAATTTCCTGATTAATCCTCGGCCTTTCACGTTTCACCATCTTCCTCCCGGACATCCCTATGTCACTTGGTCATGTGGCGAACAGTTCCCGGAGGCGACACGGTCTCCGCCCGCCGCGACATAACCGAACCGGAGATCCTAGCTACCCTGGAGAGGTGTTTCCGTCTGCTGGCCGGCACGAAGTACACCACCGGCATCAAATCTGCTGGGAACTCTGGTACACTGCTGAACCGTTGCCTGAAACGTCACGTGTTCGATCGTATCAAGCACCGTGTGACTCGCATGGACCACAATCTCTTTGATGTGATTTGGCCCGCTTTAAAGAAACACAACTCAAACACCAACACCAACGTGAGTAGCGCCTACTCGACGATCAGCGGTAATTCCGAAGAAGACGACAGCGTCATGGTGGTAGCGCCTGACTATGAAAGCTACACCGTCTTCATGGAATTCTTCGACCCCTTGATCAGAGACATCCATTGCGTGACCGCTAGCGGCGATCTACCTGATCACCCTTCACCGAGATTCTTCCTGCCTGACGATGATGACAGAGAAGAAACTATTGACAACATCGACGACGCCACCATTGCTGCGATTGAAACCTATGATCTTGATGTCCAAGCGAAATACATTCAAACTGCGACGATCGAGTGCTGCAGGAACTTGGAGAAGTATCCTTTTCCGCTGACTTTGACTGTGAATCAGCTGGAAGATGTAGAACGTGTGATCATCTCGGAACTGATGAGTCCAGACATCGCGGGGATCATAGCTGAGGGTAGCAGCGAAGATGAGGCAGGAACATATTTCACTCTCAACGAAATCCTAGATCAGCCCAGCCCAATTAGAGCTCAGTTAGCAGCAGCTGGTCTGCTGTTACCGATCACTGACTTTGAGCTACACGATGAGAAACGTCTTCATGGGAAACACTGGCCTTACGGACGAGGTGTCTATGTAGCTTCAGCTGGAGATCTAGTGGCCTGGGTGAACGTCCAAGATCATCTGAGGATCATTTGTCGGACCAGCGATAACAGGCCAGGTCTGATAGGTCGTGCCTACGTGAGACTGGCAAAAATTATGGTGATACTGAATGATGCAATGGACTTTAGGATAGACAAGAAACTGGGGTTTCTGAGTTCACGACCCTACGCTATTGGTAATACCCTAAAATTCAATCTGATCATACGATTCCCAGAGTTGTCGAAGGAATACGATCATTTGAAGCATTTGTGCGTGGTGCGTGGGCTGAGTATTCGGGAAACGGTCAGACGTGACACTGTTAAAATTGGTAATCAACAATCTTTGAGTATCACGGAGATCCAGACGCTTCAAGACTTTTCCAGGGCTGTGTCGAATATCTTAGCCCTGGAGAAGGAAGTGGCGATCAATAACTCGATGAAGATAGCCAATCTGCTCGCGGGAATATTCCGGAAGCGAAGCAGCGCGAAACGTTTCCAGAATTAACTGGATGATCGAGAGGAGGGAGAACATGTCGACGGACGATTCGAATTATTATTTTTTTTCATATAATCAAATAATACGCTTAAATGTGGCAACAGTCTGTGATAATTTTTGAGCCAATATACAAACGTTCGACTGCCAATTAATTAACGTAGAGCATAGATTAAAGAAAGAGGGTGGGGGAGGAACGTTGGAAAGATGTGCGTGAACGTTATTCTCTATTTCTCGTGCATCGAGTTGCGAAATATTTCGAACAAAATTAACGGCTGAGTGGAACACTGGAGTATTTATTAGGTTAGTAAACGAACATCATTGGTACACGAACAGTTGTCAACGTGCCGTCGCACGACACCATGCTTACGTGAATTGTGTGTACGCAACGGAGGTCCGTTCGAATATTTGTACCATGGATTTGTTTAAATTGATTGTTCCACTGTTGCAAAGCTTAAAGGGGAAGTTCCCATCGGAGCTTCTTTATGTGTCACGCACGAGTTCGATGTTCACAGAAAAAGAGATAGCGTAGCACATGTCTTTCCAACTTGATGTGCTGAATTTACGATAATTTTTATCAACGGCTGTCGTGTGGAAATCCTTATACGAGGGCAGAGTGTCCTGTAACTGATGATATCACATAAAAATAATTCGAAAATGAAGAAGCGATTACTTCCGTAATTGGTCTAGGTTTTTAAATATTGAATTTAAGAAGAACTATAATCATTTTTAACGTAACTGGCAAAACAGTCTTCACGTCTTGAAAATCGTTTGAAAATCATTTGAAATTATTTTAAAACAAGAAAAATTCAAATATCTCTATAACAGAATTTAGTAGAGTAAAATATTTATTTTTATACATTTGTGTATTTTTAAAATTGATTTTATCATTTAGAAGCATCGTCTTTTAGCTTCAATCAACAGTTACAGGACACTGTATACACGTGAAAAAAAGATTTGTTAAATGTACATTTCCTACACCTCTTCAAGACTGAATTCTTAACATTCTCACGTTAATGTGTGTTCACGTGTTTGTATAAATTATACATCATCCTGTGTGAATAAAATGAAACATTTTCTGTATGTGTACACAGTTTTCAGAGTGAACAAATGCACTGTGTTTGTATGCATGTGTGTTATATTCACTACATTCTGTACACTGTCATATTTTATTATCAAAACGCTTCGACATTGGAACTTGAGAGAATATTAAATCAATTAACGAATTCAGTTATAATATAAAAGTTCCTACTGAAATAGACATTTAATACAAGTTGAATCTTTCTTTCCAGACGACCAGCAGCTGGAAATACCGATATTCAGGGAAGAGGAAGGTCGATACTTAGCGTCATGTAAGTAGGAATTAATCAAAACTCAATGTCAAATGATAATTATTTTTAATTACAAGATACGAATAATAGAAAAACTATGAATTTTAATCAAATTATTTTAATAGCTCTCGGTGACCCACTACTCAAAGGCTTAACAGAAATTGCTAACGCGCGGCCAAAAGATCCGGTCACTTATCTCGCGACGTACTTATACAATTTTGCTAATAAAAACAAAAACAGTGGACAAGAACAGGTAAATGTTTGTCCTAATACACTTGAATAATAAAAATTTACACTACGAAATGTTTTTCGTGATAACATTCTAAATATTATCATAGACAAAAATTGTAATACTGTATAATTTAAAAATATTATAGGAACCTAATGTTTTAATTATTCCTGATCGCGAAGAAGGAAGCGTAGAAGATGTTAAAAATGAAAACCCTGATGAGGACGCTGGTTACCCGCAAAGTCCAGGGTCTGATGTGCCAGAATCAGCTTTTAGCAATCCCAATAGAGTGCGCTCATTATTAACTTTTTTTTAAATAAATATACGTAACTAATTTTCTGTGTAAGATAGTAACATGTTTTTTGGAAATCATTTCTTTTCTTTAGGACGAACACGGACAAAGCGTAATTCATTTCGCGGCCATTCGTTCTTACTCAAAGGACGGACTGTTCCACCTTCTTCAGGAAAGCCAAGTTAATATTGGATTCAGGGACGAATTGTATAGGACTGCTAGGGACGTTGCTGAATTGGCTAATATTAGAGAAAACGTTGATGAAATTGACCGTTACGTGGCTTACCTGGCCGCGAGAGGTAAGAGCTTAGAAATAAAAAATACATAATGATGACAGACGTGAAGAAAATCTATATTCTATCATTTACATAACTGCATGATTGTCGGAATTCAAAATAGAAAAATATTTACTTCGACAATCTATTTTTGTAGGCTTTTTCAAGGCCTACAAACAATTATAGAATTTTCTCAATCTGCGACAATGATGTTTAATACAAAATATAATCCTTTTATGATTCATTTTAAAAATTTTCTTTGTATTCTTAAATACAGGCGAAACTGAGAAATTAGTGGAACTTCTGCTAGAAGGATACGATCATATTTTAGACGTGACAGATGGAGGTGTGAATATTGTGGACATTGCGGCAGAACGAGGACGAGATGCAACCGTACAGTTTCTACAGTCTATACCAAATTACGTGGTAAAATTTAAAAATTGTTTAATTATAGAGTATAGAAATTATGTCGAATATTAAATGTATTAAAAAATTAAAACTTTCTATAGACACAACGCGAAGAGGTACATCATGAAATACGATCAGGCAATCTTGGAAAGGTGAAGGAGTTGTTACACAGAAACAATGGAGGAGGAAAATTATTAGCAATGGGGAAAAATCCAATGAGCAGATGTGCTCTTCACATTGCTACCCTTCGCGAGAATGAAGAAATGATCGAGTTCATTGCAAAAACGTATCCAGAAACTCTGCGAATTGGTGATAACGTGAGTACTATTGATTTAAAATATTATTCTTAATTCTTTTACCATGCATCAATAAACACTGATTTTTCAAATTATTTTATATGCTTTGAAATCTTTACTAACATTTTAATACGCGAAATGTATTCTCTAAACATGTGATATACCTTTAAAAAGATATAATTAATAACATACGTATATAAATTAAAGAAATTATGCATAGGCTGTAGATGTCATGCATTTATAATCCAGTTTTGTTTATAAGTTGTAATTGATTAAATCGAATCAATTCCCAAATAATTTTGACTTCTTTCAATTGACTTTTACGAGTCATTTAAGAGGAAATCTGCATGACATCCGCAATCTAGTTCCACAATCAAAGTACAAAGCAATACTAACAAAGAAGAAACACTTTGAAAAGGAGTTACTATGGTTTATTACAAACTCGGTGTATTTTAAACAAAAAATTCTCTGTCTCAGTTGGAGAGAACTGCTTTGCATTACGCGATGGGCCTGCAGTCGGTCGAACAACTGAGCAACATTCTGACCAAGGCGGGTGCGAAACGCACCGTAAAAGATCTGGTAATCAATTTCATCCGTTTCAACTATGCGTGAATAAATTGACAATTAAATCCAAAACACCACGTATAATTTTCGTTTCAGAAATCACGGCAACCTTCCTACTATTTTATGAACAAGTCAGACGTCGAGAGACTTCAGGAAGAGGAGGACAGCCTTGTCAAGTAGACACGATCATGTGACGTTGACTCGCGCGTCGGCCATATTGTTTACCGAAATATTCTAAAAGAGTGAAACGCATTCGAATGTGCCACTTCTATTCTGTGTATTGATCATTATCGTTGAACTTCGTTCCACAAAGCATATCCGGTGCGACGAACGGTTAGAAACTACTCTCCGTAACGTGTCCATGTAAAAAAAAGAAAGAGGAAAAGGATAGACGATGGTTTTGTATAACGTATCCACGTCGCATAATGTATATATAATACAGTGTTAGCGATAGAAACAATAAATGAGGAGAAAAGAAAGTGTACTCGGTTTTTGCGTACACGCGGCATTTCTTTCGATCAGCTACACGCGAGCTATTTTATTTCTTTTCTTTAATACCTAACTCTTCGTACGTCGAGGCTGGCAACTAGTTTACGTTCTATCCTTGCATTTCTGTTCTCTTAACTCACCTAACGAATGACCGGTTAAAACTAAAAAAAAAAATGAAGCGAAGG